CAATGCTATGCTGGATTAGGCTAGGCTATGCTATGCTATGCTATGCTATGCTATGCTGCGCTATGCTATGCTGCGCTATGCTATGCTATGCTATGCTATGCTATGCTATGCTTTCGCTTTGCCTTCGCTTTTGCCTTCACTTTTGCCTTTGCTTTGGCTTTTGCTTGGCACCCAGGGAGCGCAACTGGGGGAACCGCTCGGTTGCTTTTACCTTTGCTGTTGCTTTTGCTTGGCTCCCAGGTGACTGGGGGAACCGCCCCGGGGCGGGTTACACTGCCCGGCCCCTTTAAGCCAAGACAGTAAGAACCCTTCTAGGCAGAGCCTAGGTAGGGAATAAAACCAATAGAGAGAGAGAAAAATAAACAAAACAACAAATAAAAACGAGCCGGCCCATGGGCGCGCGGCGCGTCTCCGAGATGGAGGAGGGCCGCAGGCCCAGGCTTCTCTCCGACGGCTTAGGGCCTCCTCCTCCGGCTCGGGGGGCCCCCCGGAGCCTGGACCACCTCCAGGGGGGGGGGGCGGCCAGGAGGGGGGGGGATGACTAGGGGGGGCTACAGTCAAGACGCTGAAATAAGGAACAGTTTGGGTTCGGAAGGGGCTCGGTGTTCCTGAGGTTCCTCCAGTGCTGCTCCTCTTGCCCTCCTGGGGCACGGAGGCGCTTACAGGGCCAAGAAGGGGCCTCGTTCCTTATTTAGCTTTCTGTCAGCGGCCCGACTGTATGATGTTCCAACCTGCTTTTCAGCCTGAAGCGCCAGAGGGAATCTCGAGCGCCGGGAGAGTACCGAAGCTGGAGTGGTTTCGCGTGCCGGGCTCTGGGAGGCAGTACTCTCTTTCGACACGGTTTCGATACTTTTCTGGGTGCTCGAACTGTTTTTAGGGCTTGGTCCTTAAGCACGACGGAAGCAACATAGAGGGGGGGATCTCATTGCGGGGCCATGATGTCTCACCACTTCTCTCGGCTTTTTTTCGTTACTCTCATGCGCCCCCCGGGCCACCTCCCTGGGCCACGGACATGCCGCCGGCCGTGCTACGCGCCCCCCCCCCGCCCCCTCTTGCCCGCTCCCCTTCCTCTTGGGACGCCTCCGAGGGGGGGGGGGAGGTTGCCTGCCCCGCATCGCTGCTGTGTTGTGACGGTCCCCGGGCCCAGCGAAAGAGGCGTGGGGGAGGGCGGCCGCAGGCAGGCCAAAAAAGGGCTGGGGGGGCGAGCGCAGCTGATGATGTTCAGAGCGCCGGGGGCGCTCGGCAGTTTTTGAGGTCGTCATTTTTTGTTGTTATCTTTTTCCTTCACCATTCTCCATTTTTGTCCTTCTAGGGGGTCGTTTCTCTTCCGTGTTGGGATTTTCTCGTTTGAGCCCGTGTCGGTTCGGTTTCGTTTTACATTGCGATTGTCTCATGTTCTGGGTTGCCGCTTTTGGTTCCTCCCCCGTTGTGGTTGGCAGGAAGCCGGGAAGCTGAAACTAGTGTTTATTGGAGGAACGCAGTGGCCTCAATTGGTGGTGAAGAACAGGGCCCTCAAGGGCCCCTGAGGGGCCTTTGGAGGAACGCAGTGGCTTAAATTGGTGGTGAAGAACAGGGCCCTCAAGGGCCCTTGCAGGGCCTTCTTTTTCACCCCCCATGTCGGTCACTCCCCATGGCCACCCGCCCGAAAACGCTCCCCAGCGCTCCTGTCACCAGCTAATTATATGGGCGGGAGGAGCTAAGCCCCAGGGCTCCCGGCCTGCAGGGTGTTTTGGCGATTCCGTAGGCCGTTTTCGCTTTCCTTCCAATTTTGCAGCAGAAGAGGAACGGAGACGATCCGAGGGATGCTGGACACAACACGAACACGACAAGCTCGGGCGTCGTGTGATCGCGGGGGGGGGGGCATATGGTGTGGGCAGCGAGGGCTGCAGAGAGAAGGGGCCCTCCGGGGCCCCTACCGCGGCCCTTCGGGGCCCAAAAAGCTTGTAGAGTCCGGAAAGTGCACATTCCTCCCCCTGCTCATCCTCCTGCTCCTCCTTCTCCTCCTCCTCCTCCTCCTCCTCCTCCTCCTCCTCATCATCATCATCATCATCATCATCATCATCATCATCATCATCATCATCATCATCATCCTCGTCATCCTCATCATCATCATCATCATCATCATCATCATCATCATCATCATCATCATCATCATCATCATCATCATCATCATCATCATCAGCATCAGCATCAGCATCAGCATCAGCATCAGCATCAGCATCATCATCATCATCGTGCATCGCCCCCCTGTATCGGTCCATCCATCGCCCCCCCCGTATCGCCCCCCATGAAGCGACGCCCGAAAACAAAACGCCGCTCTGGTCGAGCCACGGTAGGCCCCACGGGCACCGCCCCGGCGGGGCGGCCCGCCACTAACCTTGGCATCGCTCGGACGTGTGTATTATTTCTCTTTCGGCGAGGGCCATCGAGGAGCATCCTGGATCATTTGGCGAAACAACCACGCACGAAACCGAAACAAAAACACAGGGAATGGACGTCCGAGCGACGTCGAGTTGCGGCAGCGGTGCCCGCGCGCGCGCGCGCGAAGGGAGGCGGCGCACGGCGGCCAAACGGGAGGGGCGGGCGGCCGAGCTCGGGGCGCGGGGGCCCCGCTCGGCGCGCCGTGTGGGCGGGCTGTGTGGGCCGGTGCGGAGTGAGGGCGGGCACTGCGCCGGGTGGCTCCCCTCGAGAGGGGGGAGGGAGGGGATCCTCCTCCTCCTCCTCCTCCTCCTCCTCCTCCTCCTCCTCCTCCTCCTCCTCCTCCTCCTCGTCCTCCTCCTCGTCCTCCTCCTCATTCCTTTTCCTCATGCATAACTTCCCCCTGTCGCACCCCGAGGCAGGTTTTCAGGGCAGGCCGGGCGTTTCGCCTGAGGGCGGGGGGGGAGGGGGGATGCAGACCCAAGGAGAATGGGAGGGGGTGAGAGGGGGTGGGAGGAGAGAGGGGGGTGCGGGGGAGGCGAGGGCGGAGACCTGGGGGGGGGAGGGGGGAGGGGGGAGGGGCAAGACCGTTCCCTCCCATCCCTGAGCATGGCACAGCATGGCGCAATGATCCCGAGAGGGTGCGCGATGCATCGTAGAGCACGGCATATCATGGCGTGCAAGAGCACGGCCGAGCGTTGTATGTCATAGAACGGCGTGGCTTTGCGAAATGAAGGACTGCATCACGAAGCGCTGCAACGCAAATAAGAGTCGCACAGCGGCACAGAACAGAACATGGCATAGGATGGCGTTGAATATCAAAGTGTAGCATGGCAGAGCATGGCATGGCACTGCGTAGTCAAGCTTTGCATATCCCAGCATTGCAGCTGAAGGCATGGCATCGCACAGCAGAACACCACATAGCATTGTATTCATGCTGTGACATGGTACTGGGAAGAACAAGTGGCACGCGTGCCATGGCTCTTGCACAAAAGGACGGGGGAATGATGCTGATGGTGATGCTGCTGCTGATGATGATGATGCTGATGATGCTGCTGCTGCTGATGATGATGATTATGATGCTGATGATGATGCTGCTGCTGCTGCTGATGATGATGATGATGATGATGATGATGATGATGATGGTGATGATCATGATCATGATCATGATCATGATCATGATCATGAGGAGGAGGGGGAGGAGGAGGAGGAGGAGGAGGGGGGAGGGAGGAGGAGAGAGGAGGAGGAGGAGGAGGAGGAGGAGGAGGAGGAGGAGGAGAGAGGAGGGAGGAGGAGGAGGAGGAGGAGGAGGAGGAGGAGGAGGGGGGGGGGGGAAAGATGGGGCGAGAAATCGGAGAAGGGTTGGGGGGGGGCGGGCGGTGGGAGCGGTGCGGGCGGAGGGGGGCGGGGTGCACTGGGCGGGCGGGGAGGGGGGAAAGGGTCGTGGGCACGGGACGGCGGGCGCAGTGCGACGCCGAAATAAAGTGGTCGGGGCGGAGGGGGGCGGGGTAGAAACGGCACTGGACGGGGGGCGGTGCAACGCCGAAATCAAGCGATCGGGGCGGAGGTTGTCACGCTGGTGGCGGTGGTGGTTGGCGTGGGTGGGTGGGTGGAGGGGCGAGGGGGGCGGGGTGGCGGGGGCTGTGCGACGTCGAAATAAAGTGATCGGGGCGGGGGGTGGCGGGGTGCAGAGGGCACTGGGTGGCTGGGGAGGGGGGAAGGGTCGGAGGGGGCGGGACGGTGGGGGCGGTGCGACGTCGAAATAAAGTGGTCGGGGTGGGGGGGGCGGGTAGAGAGGGCACCGGACAGGGGGCGGTTCCACGCTGGTGGTGGTGGCGGTTGGTGCATAAAGTGGTCGGGGCGGAGGGGGGCTGCAGCGGCAGAACGAATCGGAACGAGCGGAAGCGCGGAAATGAGGCCAGCGCTGCAGCGGGAGCACGACTCGGAACGAGCGGAAGCCCAGAAATGAGGACAACGCTGCAGCGGGAGCACGAGTCGGAACGAGCGGAAGCCCGAAAATGAGGCCAGCGCTTCAGCGAGAGCAGCAGTTTGAAAACAAATCCAAGCGAAAACCCAATACGCGGAAGGGGGCCGAACACCTTCTGGACGTTATCAGGGGAGAGAGGATAGTAATTAGTATTCATATTGTGTAGTTGCGGAGGGGAGAGAGGGGAGGGAAGAGGGGAGAGGGGAGATGAGCGAGGTGAGGAGAAGGCGGGGGGGGTCTGAAGAGGCAGGGGGTATGGAGGGGTGGGGTGGAGGGAGCAATTGAGGCAAGGAGGGGGGCAGGGAGCCAGGTGCACCCTGAAGAAGCTGAGCCTGCACACGCAGAGCTTGCCCAGAGGTTTCCCACGTCAGGGCCCCCCCGCGCCGACACGGGCTCATGGGCCTCAGCCCTCGGAGCGACGTCTCCTGGAAATCCCAGCAACGCAGCAGGCCACGGTGAGGGGGGACGTATGTTCATGGGGCTGCTGCTGCCCTGGTCCGGGGTCGATCCTTGAGGTTCGAGGCTAGTTAGACGTGCTGTTTCGTGGCTGGTCTCGTGTGGGCCTCCAGAGTCCTCCAGGTGCTTCAGTGGACCTCCTAGATTGCCCCCCCCCTTCTGACTGTTAGGGGCGGTCGCCGTAGCCGTTTCGGCGATCGGGCCCTCCTGCAGCCGGGCATGGCCTGCGCGGCGCGACGGCGGGCGGGGAGACCGCGCCGATGGACCCGCTCGCACTGCTGTCCGACGACGGGGCTTCGGGCGAGGAGGAGGGGACTGGCGATGGCGGCCCTGGCGGTGGCGGCAGCGGGAACAGCTGCGGGGGCTGCGCGGGCACGGGCGGCGACGAAGGGCTCGGCCCCAGGGAGGAGGGCTGCCCCGCGCCGAAGCGCGCCCGCGGGGAGAGCGGCCAGGTGCGCTTCGAGGAGCTGCAGCTCGCGGGCTACAGGCCCGCGGAGCTCACGGAGACCGCGGCGTACCTGCGGGACGCGGAGACGCAGGAGGAGCGGCGGGCCAAGGCGCGCCCCTCGCCGCCGCAGAGCGAGCACTGGCCGGTGGAGGCCGGCTGCGAGCCGCCGCCGCCGGCCCCGCCGCCCGTCACGGCGACCTGCCCCAGGGGCGGCGCGCCGCCCGCGCCCTGGGCGCACTTCGGCGGCAGGGAGGACGAGCCCGCCGTGGGCTTCCCGCCCGAGCTGCGGGGCCCCCTGCTGGCCGCGGGCTTCTCGGCCCCGACGCCGGTGCAGGCGCACGCCTGGCCCGCCCTCTGCGCCGGCCGGGACCTCATCGCCGTGGCCCAGACCGGCTCGGGCAAGACGCTGGCCTACCTGCTGCCCGTGGCCGCCCAGCTAGGGCGCGCGGCTCCAGGGGTCTCCCCCGCCGCGCTGGTCGTGGCGCCGACCCGGGAGCTCGTGTGCCAGATCGAGCAGCAGGCGGAGCGCTTCCGCAAGTCGGCGGGGCTCGCCTGCGCGGCCGTGTACGGCGGGGCTCCGAAGGGCCCTCAGCTCGGCGCGCTCCACGCCGGGCCCGCCCTGGTGGTGGCGACGCCAGGCCGGCTCGTGGATTTCCTCGACACGGAGCAGTCATCCTGCTCTCTGAGCGGCGTGCGCTTCCTGATCTTCGACGAGGCGGACCGCATGCTGGACGACGGGTTCGACGAGCAGGTGCGCCGCGTGGGGCGCGAGGCGGCTGGTGCGCGGCGCCAGACGGCCATGTTCTCGGCCACCTGGCCGCCGACGGTGCAGGAGCTGGCCCGTGACTTCCTGCAGGACCCGATCAGCATCCGTGTCGGTCACACGGACGAGCTCTCCGCGAACGCCGACGTCGCACAGGACGGTCGTTGTTCGTCGCGTTGCCAGCGAGTGATTGTGGTGCTCCCTGGGCCGAGATCTGGAGCTGGGATGCTGGGAGGCATTCGGCGGCTCATGCGTGCCAGGCTCGAAATCTCCCCCCAAGGGGGGAACGAGCGGGTGGCTACCCGGGCCTGGGTTTAGATCTCGACCAGGGGTTCACGGGCGGCACATTGGTCGAGCCCTATACCATGCACCCATCGACAGGACGTGGAGGTGTGCCAGGACGACGCGTCCAAGGAAAGGGCGCTCGTCGCCATACTCCGGGGGAAGCCGCGGGCGCGTGCGATAGTATTCGTGGCCACGAAGCGCGCCTGTCGAGACCTCGCCCGCTCGGCCCGCGGGGCGATCCCAGGCTGGAGCGAGGTCATCCATGGCGATCGCAGCCAGGTGAGCGACGGAAGAACACGGGGCCCAATGCGCGGACACGGGCGCGCAAGCTCCCCGAGTGAGGCTGCGCGTGAGCGCCCTCGTTCCCGACGCAGTGTGCCGCGTTGGCGGCCCGCGCAGGTCACCGCGCAGAGTCGACATGCCATCTCGGCGCCCAGGTGGAGCGGGAGGCTGCGCTGGACGCGTTTCGCTCCGGCCGCGCGCGCGTGCTGTTCGCGACGGACGTGGCCGGCCGGGGCCTCGACATTCAGGACGTGGCGCTGGTCGTCAACTTCGACCCCCCGAGGAGCGCCGAGGACTACGTCCACCGCATCGGCCGCACCGGGCGGGCTGGGCACGCGGGCCTCGCGATCACGCTGCTCACGTGGCGCGACACGGAGGCCGCACGCTTCATCGCGGAGGTGATGCGGCGCACCGGCAAGCGAGTGCCGGGCTCGCTGGAGCGCCTCATCGGCCCCGCGCTCGTGGTAGACCAGCCGGGCGCATCCCGCACGGGCGTCATGACCAGGCACGAGCACCGGTGATGACGGCTGCACTGTGCAAACAGCGACAAACAAGAGTAAGCCCAGCAGCCACAAGGCCTTACTCGACGCTGAGTCGGTGCTTCCTCATCGACTACCAGGCGCCAGCGTGCGCTAACGCAGCCTAACGACCGAGTTCCAGAGGGGGAAGGAACGAAGCAGTTTGGTTCGCCCTCCCAGTTTGAGTTCGACGTGCGGGCTCGCTCGTTTTGCAGGTTGGCACGGGGATGTGTCTGTTCGCAGCTGCTCCGGGCAACATGAATCCCACGTGCTGCACTGGTGCATCTCGTGTGGCCGCATGCCCCCTCTGCCCTATTCCTCAAGGTGATTTGGTGGGGCACCCAAAAGGCACCGATTCCGCTGCTCCCCGGACCTCTCCCGGGGTGCGTTCTGACCAGGATGTCGAGGCGAATCCAGCGGTGGCGACGAGGACCTCCCGGCAGGCCAGCAGGCCACAAAAAAGGGGATCACGGGCCAAGGGTAGCGGGATGGGTACTTTCTCTCCTCCGATTGGCGGGGAGATGATGCCCCTTCCCACAACACTGTCCCGTACCCCGCTTGCACGACGAAGCGTGTGGCCACTTTGGAACTGGGTTGTCTCCAGTCGTAGGACAGCGCGTAGGTTGCTCCTCGTGCCTCCTCGCTAGGAATCCCTTGGTGTTCCTCCCCGTCTTCGCCAGAGCGGTCCGCGGGGCCCAGACGACCCGAGCAGGGCATTTCGAATAGCGACACCCCGTCGATTCCTTTCCCAAACTACACCCCAGAAGTGTCAACCACGTTCGCACCGCCCTCGTCATCACGCCTTCGCTGAACTATCGCTGCCTCCCCTCGCTCGTTTTTGATTCGCGACTCCATCGACCCAGCATGCCTGCTGCCCCGTCGCCAGGCGGACCATGTGCTGCAGTGCCCGCAGGCCAGCCTGCCTCCCTTCAGTGTCGCTCTCTCTCTATCTCGCTTTCTGCTGCTTTTGCCTGAAGGTGTTGTGGCCCGTCGCCTGGTTGTGGCAGCCGAGGCGGCCAGGCCTTGAGGGTGTGTCGAATGCTGATTTGGTGCTCTATCCTTAGGTCGGGCATGTCCTCCTACAGGCGGACTTGGGGCGAAACGTGAAAACTAGTCAAACAAGTATTCCAAAGTAGTCAGAAAATGATAGAACAATCGTCCCGAGACACGATCGGTGTGACTTTTTTTTTGAATATTCCTCCTGTAAAGGGACAGGTCCGACTGATCTCTATGCCTCCTGGTGGGCTTCCTCCGTAATGGCAAAAAGTCTGGCTCAAGTCTGGCCCCGCTAGCCTGAACGCTAGTGATGTCATTGCTGAGGCATGGCCGTCGTACTTCCCCTGATCATCAGTTTGCAGCGGTCGGCTATGTGACCCGGTTCGTTCTAGATGGCGAGCTAAACGCCATTGCGACAGTTAAAGCAGTGCACCGATTTGGTTGCCAAGGTGTGCGTTTCCTGCAGCAGCACATGGGCTAGGCATATTATTGGAATGGCGCCGCGAGAGATAATCCAAGGCTTCTGGCAAAGAGCGCGCCGTTGTTCAACTTCGCAGCCGCGCACCTCGCATGCAACATAATGCGCTGACTAGTACCTGTGCCACGTCCTTTTCGGGGACCGCTGCCCGGGCCAGCCGATATATGTATGTATGTGTGTGCATATATACATATATATGTATATATGTATATATATATATATATATCGGCACAGCTGCGGTAGACCACAGCCAATGTAGTTACCAACGTGCTGCTTGTCTATGAGCCCCAGTGTCGCTATAGGCCAACGCTGACAAGTTCAAGGCGTCGTTGTGGTCGACTGTGCCGAGATCTCTCCTAGACGTTGCGCTTCTGGCATGTGTGCCCCAAGATTCGTTCCCGCCCCCAGCGATGAAGTCTGCTGGTCTCGGGCTCCCAGGGATGACCCTCCAGATTGTGTGCCCAATGGTGTTATCCACCTGATGGCCTGCCTGCTTGCGAGGTTCACGACAGAACCTACTGGTGCCGTTCCTTAAGGTATCTCGGCTGAGGTAGAGAATGAGCCGCGCGGTGTTTCTTTCCCCGATGTGCCCTTCCCTCCTGCCGCCGAGTCACCTGCAGGAGAGGCTGGATTCACAGAGTCGTCACGGAGACGCTTGCGTCGTGAACAGGGTCAAGCACGGTGGCTCTGCAGAGCCCCACTGCAGAGGAGTGCATAATGTTCACCGCCATTCAAAGCGCGTGGAGGGCGTGAGACCACCGATCGCATGGCCAGCTTCGGGAATACCGGCCGCTGCGGCGCAGAGCCCTCCAGGTGATCGAGCAGAAGTGCGTGGTGAGCGAGAGCAGCGCAACGTGGGAGGTCCGCGCAGGAGAACACGTTCCCTGGGCTGGGCCTATCGAGGGCGCGTCCACAGCTCGGTCGGCCCGGCCGCGCGGCCGCCGGCTGCCTTCGGCCCCGCTTCCCTCCGCTGGGGGCCAGCGCTGCCGTGGCGCCGCCGCGCCGCACGCACGGCGCGCCCTTCCGGGCCGCGGGCGGCCTGCCCGCGCGCGGGCCGGCGAGGCGGCTGCGAGGTCGGCCCGGCCGGTGTTGCCGGTGGCGCAGCCGCCCTGGAGGAGGAGGAGGCGGAGGAGGAGGAGGAGGAGGAGGAGGAGGAGGAGGAGGGGGAGGAGAAGGAGGAGGACGGCTCCCCCGCGCGGGGGGCGCGCGAGGGCGGTGCCCTCCTCGGGCATGCCCGGCGCCCGCCTGGCACGTCTCGGCCCCCCTCGCGCTCGGCGAGGCTGCTCGGCCCGAGGGCGCCCTGCAGCGGGTGCAGGGGATCGGCCTCCCTCCCCCCGCCTCTCTCCGTAGTGGAAGTGGTCGGAGGAGGAGGAGGAGGAGGAGGAGGAGGAGGAGGAGGATCCTCGAGGAGGAGGAGGAGGAGGAGGAGGAGGAGGAGGAGGAGGAGGTGACATCCGAACCTGCTATAGACCCGGGGCCCCAAGCTCTTCCAAAAACTCGTGCCTCCCTCCTCATCCTTCTCCTCACTTGTCCTCCTTCCGGCGGGGGGGCCAGACCTGCGAGGACATGATTCAGGAGGGAATAAAACACACAGACACAATGAAACGACGATCCCCAGGAAAGTATAGGAAAATATGGGAAGTGGGGGGAGAAGACAAGAACCCAGAAAATGTGCGAAAATATTGGGAATCTGTTATTTGTGTGTGCATTTATTTGTGTGCCCTGGGGCCCCTTTAATGATTTCTGCTCCCCTCCGTGGCCCGCCCGAGGCCCCAACCGCTTTCCCAGGGGTGGTGTTGCGCACTGGGGGTCCCTCTGCCGTCTTCGAGGGCCCCGGGGCCCGAGGACGGGCCCGGGCGGCCGAAATCGGAGAAGAACGCTGGGATGCAACAGCCGAGATCGTCTTGGGGGGGCGATCCTCCTCCTCCTCCTCCTCCTCCTCCTCCTCCTCTCCTCCTCCTCCTCCTCCTCCTCCCCCTCCTCCTCCTCCTCCTCCTCCTCCTCCTCCTCCTCCTCCTCCTCCTCCTCCTCATTTCTGCCTCCCCCTCCTCCTACTCCTGGAGGAGGGCGAAGCCTCCTACTCCTCCTACTCCTGGAGGGGAGGAGGCCTCCTCTCTTGGGGGAGGGCGATGGATGGGGGCAGCGAGGGTTTCAGAGAAGGAGCCCTTGAGGGCCCCTGCAGGAGCTCTGCACACGGCCCGAGAAGGGCACCTTTCTCCGCCCCCCGTTCGGGGCGTTCCAAGGAGGGCCTTGCCTTCGATTCTCAGGAGGGGAAAAAACACAGACACAATTAATCGTCCACTCCCAGGGGAATCCTTTTATTTGTGTATATTTATTTGTGTGTCCCAGGGCCCCTTCAGATTCCTCGGCAGAGGGCGGCGGAAGGCTGGAAGAAAGCGGCGGAAGTGAAACGAGGCCGCCTCCGCCGGCGGAAGGCTCGCGGAGGGCGGCGGACGTAAAACGAGACCGCCCCCAACAAACGACAACGTTTTTGGGTTCAGAGCTTCGGGAATCCGCCATTTCTCGGGTAGGGTATCGGCTGCAGATTTGATTTACCCCGGAATTCATTCTTCAGTCGAGTCCACAATACATACTAAGATCGTCCCACATATCTAAGAGTTTTCTACGTGGCTTTCGTCGACTCGACGAGAACATCAATTCGGGGGTCCATCAATTCTGCAGTCGATCCCCTGCTCGAGATTTGTTATCGCCCCCACCACCATCGCGCCCGTCGTCGGAGCCTTGGCGAGGTGGCCGAGACGCCCCCACGTTGGCACTGAGCGCAGCAGCACCGAGTGTGCGTGGGGGAGGAAAGGAGATGGAAGGAGGAGGAGGAGGAGGAGGAGGAGGAGGAGGAGGAGGACGGGGAGGAGAGAGGAGAGAGGAGAGAGGAGAGAGGAGGAGGAGGAGGAGGAGGAGGAGGAGGAGGAGGAGGAGGAGGAGGAGGCGGAGGAGGAGGAGGAGGCGGAGGAGGAGGAGGAGGAGGAGGCAGTAGTGGCAGCTTGCGCTCGCGCCCGCTGGCCAGCGAGAGAGCGGCGCCTCGGCAGCCCGCCGCCTTGCGGCAGCCACCCCCCCCCCAACACCCCGGGCCGCCCGCGCGCCAGTGCGCCCAGTGGCCCTGCGACGTGCCGCCCGCGGTCGCGGACCTCGTCGCCGCACGCCGCTGGGAGGACGACGGGGGGGGGGGCTGCTGCCTCCATCGAGTATGGGGCCCAATCCCAGACCCCCGTCGGGCAGTGAAAGAATCAGAGAGGGAGGTTTTCCGCAGCTTCGACCTCTGGAGGCCCTTGCCGGCCGTCGGGACCGTGAAGAAACGACTCGGGATGAAGAACTGGTGCAGGGGAATGGGTCGAGACCTCTGAGGGTCGGCGTCATGAACAAATCATGACGTCGGGGGTCTGGGAAGGTAACTATACACCACCACCACCACCGCCTCCCTCACCCCCTCCCTCTCCCAGGAAAGAGGAGGAGAGGAAGAGGAGGGTGGGCGAGGGACGGGGGATACAGAGGTGGTGGTGGTGGTGCATCGGGGCCCGAAGCGAAGTCCTCCTGCTCCTCGCCCCATCTCCTCCGCCGCCTGCCTCCGCCCTCCCTCTCCGGCCGATGCTCCGGCTCCGGCTCCGGCTCCAGCTCCTCCGCCTGCACGCTTCTTCTCTTCCCCCTTGTCCTCCTCCTCCTCCTCCAGCTACACCCCTTCTCTCCTCCTCCTCCTCCTCCTCCTCCTCCTCCTCCTCCTCCTCCTCCTCCTCCTCCTCCTCCTCCTCCTCCAGCTGCACCCCTTCTCTCCTCCTCCTCCTCCCTCGTCGTCCCCCTCATGGGGGGCGGGAGGAGGGGGCTCAGGCGGGGCGCGGCGGCACGGACCGGTA